CACAGCAAAATGGTGTTGCAGAGAGGATGAACAGAACACTAAATGAGAGAGCCAGGAGCATGAGATTGCATGCACGACTCCCAAAGATGTTCTGGGCCGATGCGGTGAACACAGCAGCATACTTGATCAACAGAGGACCCTCATCTCCCATAGGTTTCAAAATTCCAGAAGAGGAATGGAAAGGTCGAGAGATATCTCTTACTCACTTGAAATTTTTTGGTTGTATTTCTTATGTCAAAGTTAAAGATGCAGACAGTGACAAGCTCGAAGCAAAGGCAAAGAAATGTATCTTTATTGGGTACGGGTTGGATGACATAGGCTATAGGTTCTGGGACAACCACAGCAAGAAGGTTATCAGAAGTAGAGATGTCACCTTCAACGAGAATGCTCTGTATAAAGATGGTCTTGCAGCAGAAACAAGCAAAGCCAAGCAACCAAAAAACAAATAGCAAGTGGTGTTTGACGGGATGACTAAAGATGACATAGCACAACCTGTTGGTTGTGATGAGATGACTGGAGGCTCAGGGAGCAGTGGGAGCTCTGGAGATACAGGAACTTCTGAAGATAGTAGGAGTGATGAAGATAGTGGGAGTTCAGAGGCAGCTACTCCACATATTAGACAGTCCACTAGAAACAGAAGACCTTCTAACAGATATTCTCCTTCAGCAAATTACATGTTGCTGACCGAGAATGGAGAGCCAGAATCTTACTCAGAGGTGCTGACCGTGAAAGATTCCATACAGTGGAAGAAGGCCATGGAGGATGAGTTAGATTCACTTGACAAGAACCAAACTTGGTCCTTAGTCAAGCTACCACCGGGAAAGAAAGCTTTGGAGAACAAGTGGGTGTTTAGAATCAAAGATGAAGCATATGGAAGCAAAAGATACAAGGCGAGGTTAGTTGTCAAGGGGTTTCAACAGAAGAAGGGGGTTGATTACAATGAAATCTTCTCTCCGGTTGTGAAGATGACCACTATCAGGTTGATCCTTGGTATCGTTGCTGCTGAAAATTTGCAATTGGAGCAGCTGGATGTAAAGACTACTTTTCTTCATGGCAACCTTGAAGAAGACATTTACATGGCTCAACCAGTAGGTTTCCCAGTGAGTGGTACTTGAAGTTTGACAGTTTTATGCAGCGGAATGGGTACACTAGATGCAAGATGGACCATTGTTGTTACTTGAAGAAATTCAAGTCATCATACATTATTCTTCTTTTGTATGTTGATGACATGTTGGTGGCTGGAGCAAACATGCAGGAGATCAACAAGCTTAAGAAGAAGTTGTCCGAAGAGTTTGAGATGAAGGATTTAGGGGAAGCGAGACAGATTCTTGGGATGAGCATAGTCAGAGACAGGATAGAAGGTACTTTACAGCTTTCACGGCAGAAGTACATTCAGAAGGTCCTTGAGAAGTTCAAAATGACGGATGCCAAACCAAGGAGTACACCGTTAGGGAGTCATTTGAAACTCTCCAAGCAGCAGTCTCCAAAGACCAATGAAGACAAAGAAGAAATGGCTAAAGTTCCTTATGCATCAGCCGTTGGCAGCTTGTTGTACGCGATGGTGTCAACAATGCCAAACATTGCTCATGCAGTGGGAGTTGTTAGCAGGTTCATGTCAAATCCAGGGAAGGAACATTGGGAAGGAGTTAAGTGGCTATTGCGCTACTTGAAAGGTACTTCTGAAACTGCCCTATGTTTCAGGAGGAATGGTGTAATCCTAGAAGGATTTGCCGATGCTGATTTGAGGGGCTGTTGTGATTCCGGGAAGAGCACTACAGGGTATGTATTCACTATTGGAGGTACGACAATCAGTTGGATGTCCAGGCTACAGAAGAGCGTAGCTCTTTCAACCACAGAAGCAGAGTATATGGCCATTGCTGAAGCGGCCAAAGAGTTGATCCGGTTGAAGAATTTTCTTTCGGAGTTGGGCATGAAACAGGGAGATTGCGTTCTATACTGTGACAACCAGAGTGCTATTCATCTCGCGAAGAATCCGGTGTTACACAGCAGAACGAAACACATCAAGATGCGGTATCATTTCATTCGATAATTGATTGAGAATGGTACTATAAATTTGAAGAAGATACTTGGTACAAAGAATCCAGCAGAAATGCTTACCAAGGCGGTGACAACGGAGAAGTTGAAGCTATGCATGGCTTCAGCGGGCCTTCCAGATACTTGAATGTGAAGGCGTGAACGAGAGAGAGAGATCAGGGTTTTACAGAAGATGCATGTTCTTGGATGGCAGATAATTGTTGACCAAGCCTCCAAGTGGGAGATTGTTGAAGATGGAGCCTTGTTTTGAATGCAAGAGTATATACCCGACCGGGTATGGGGTTGGTTTTGTTCGAGTAACTCACTGGCAATTTTCTGGAATGGAAACCCGATCGGGTATATGTGGTCTACCCGATCGGGTATGTTGAAGCCCAGACCAGGGGACTCACTGGAACGTGATACCCGACCGGGTAAGGAGATTTACCTGACCGGGTCAGTGAAGGTTTTAGCTTCTGTTTTGGTTACCCGCCCTGGTATCGACCCGAGCATGCTTTCTGAGGAGATACCCGACCGGGTACAGGAGGTTACCCGACCGGGTATACGGAACGAATTTTTTAAATTATGGGCTTAATCAGGGCCTGCGGCTCTAATCTGTATTTAGGTCTTCTTAAACATATTTAAACACCCTAATGTACTTGTAAAACCTCTGACGCCGATAATAATACATCCTCTCTCTTGTTCGTCGTGGACTAGCAGAATCACACCGATTCTGTGAACCACGTAAATTCTTGTGTTCTTGCTCTTAATTTATCGTTTATCTTTGCCTAATCGTAATAGCCCCTTGCTTCTTTGTCCTACTTTTTTTATTACTTTATTTCTAGGCCACAGATGAGAGAAGCTTTTAGTAAAGAAATCAACTAAACAATTAGTTCAAACAAAATAGTCAAATGAAAAGCTCCAAATGAAAGCATCGCTTATGTAAAGAAATAAAGGGAACAATCACTGCTACCCGGGCAGTGAGAGTAAGAAGCAAAAATGTTGATTTGCATCTGCATATATACAGTTGTATATAGTGACAGTATTATTTTGAGGTCTCCTAGTTTCGATGAAGAGGTGGGTGCGGCAATCTCGCATACGATTAGAGATGAAGTGCAGATATACACAGGCTTAGCTTCCTACCTAGTTAGGAGTATGCTTTTTTCTTTGTTGAAGTTTGACTAATATGCAACAGAAAAGTTGTCCAAAAACCCGCTCTCAAGTCCAGTTGCAGCAGGAAAATGCAATAGACCAACAACAACCACTCAAATGTAAGACAACTCAGCTGAAGTTCGATAAAATCGTGAAGGAAATCAGCCTAAAGACCTGGTCTAAACTGCCTGAAAACAACTACCAATAAACCTGCTCTAAATCAGCCAAAAATCTACCTATAAACCTGCTCTAAACAACCTAGAAACAACTCAAAACCAGCCAAAAGTCTACCCATTACCCTGCTCTCAATTTCAAGCCCATCCTTCCACATACAATATACTTTTACTAACAAATACGCAGGAGGAGGAGTTTAATTTTGAAGCGGTGGTTTTTCTTCTGCAGGAAGCCACGTGGATCGCCGAGAGAAGAAGAGTGAAATAAGGGCTGGAGGACACGTTGGGTTTGAGGGCAAAAATGTACTTTGCACAGCCTATTCTTTTCTTATATATAAATAGATATAATAGATTTGAGTGACGATTTTATCAAATCCAAATCCAATTTTGCTCGATAAAAAAAAAAACTGATTTTGCTTCTCAATAGAGCTTGACTATATTATTTTGAATAGAGCTTGAGTATTTAATCTAAATATATAAATTTAAGAATATCACTCCTTATCTCAACTTTCTGACAAAAACATGTCTGAATGACGTTTGTTAAAAAGACTCTTGAAAGGCAAGTATCAGATGTGAAGCAAATTACTAACACAAAAAGCTCAATCAATAAGAACTTCAAACTTGAAGATTGGACCATCACATTAGGGCAATTTCTGATAAGTATATACTACGTTACTACGTAGTATATATTTCATTAATCAATATAATAACATTTCATCTAGGAAGCATAGAAACTCTCCATGGCTCACGTTTCCACGTTCCGAAAACTCAGAAGCGTTCCGGAAACTCGGAAACTTCAAATTCCCGTTTCGGGGCCGTTTCCGTAATTAAGAAAATTTTGGAAACCCGTTTCACTGCGTTTCGGAAACCTCGGATTCCCATTTTTTTTCTTTTTCAAAAGATTCTGTGGTGGAAAATATTTTTTTATAGTGAATTTGTGTGGTATTTCTCAAAGACAACACTTGTTACATTTCGTAACGCAATGTATTGCTAGAAATGTATTACTCCGTACATTTTATGTTTAATTATGTACTAATATGAAATAATATCTAAATTCGAACATGTAGAGTGATTTTATTATTTGGTTACTAAACAAATTATATTAAAAAAATATGTGCATATGGAAAAAATTGTGTACATATATTAAAAAATATTTATAAATATATCCTTATATTTTATAATATTTACGCGTTTCCCCCACGTTTCGTGTCCTATATTTTTTAGAAATTACGTTTCTCGCGTTTCCCGTTTCACGTTTCCCGTTTCCATGCTACTTAGCATTTCATTCATGTCGGACAATTAAATCAAGAGAAAGTTCCCGAAATAGGACTAAAACAGTTTGAAAATTCCAAAATAGAATTATCATGTTTTTTATTCCCAGAATAGGTGTAATTACTGCCAAGTTTGGAAAATACTACCATGTTTTGGGAATAAAAACATGGCAGTCTGTTAAGACTCGGGGTTCCTTCCTAAAAGGTCAACCTTGTCACGCCCCGGACCGCATCCGTGCCACGTAGACAACCGCCGTACAACCCAATAAGAACAACGTAGTTCATTCTTATCAAATCATACAAGGCGTCCGATAGATTCTATTGCCAAACCGATTAGTAAACCCATACAATCAACATCAATATATAAATCAAACAAATGCGGAAATAAAATATGTTTGACATTTAGCCACACGTGGCAACCATGAGCACGCAGGCCCTTCAATAGTTTAATAGAAAACATCGTTCAAATATCCATGAGCAATTTCATAATTTCAAATAAGAATGGAAGCACGAACCACGTCTTCCTTATTTGAGTTCACCCTGGGCAAAGGTGCAGGTGGCAGGACTCTAGCCTCAACCTGAAAAATGTGAGGGCCCCCCGAAGGGGTCAGTACTCCATAGAAGTACTAGTGACAAGCAGGCTATATGAGGAATAACTAATGTCTCAGACACGAGACCCAAAAATAGGATGATACATATATTTATAGGTGTAACCATTGTCACCCCCATTCCCAAGATAATACATACTGTATATACTTGTAAAATATTTGACCCGTAGGTCGTTTTCTCACAAAAGAGTCTTTTAGAGACAAGGTACTTACCCAACCTTTCCCCTTTCATTCCTGAATGCCTAGCTTAAGAGCTACATTCTACCTTCATAATATCCTACCGAGTTTCAGGAGTGTTAACCCTCCCGGGGATACTCAACCCCATCCGAGTTTTGGGATCATTTACCGTCCCGAGGATGCTCAACCTCAACCGAGTTTTAGGATCATTTACCGTCCCGAGGATGCTCAACCTCAACCGAGTTTTAGGATCATTTACCGTCCCGAGGATGCTCAACCTCAACCGAGTTTTAGGATCATTTACCGTCCCGAGGATGCTCAACCTCAACCGAGTTTTAGGATTGTTTACCGTCCTGAGGATACTCAACCTCACCGAGTTTTAGGATCATTTACCGTCCCGAGGATACTCAACCTCAACCTTATTTCTAACCAAACCCTAACCTGGATATGGCTAACCTTGCATTCACTTAACTATGGACAATACCTAGTCCTATAGTCATATAATAATCCTTAGTAACCAACGTGGACGGGTCCCACCTGATCGGTCCACGTTAACCTACTCAAAAACTATCCATTTTGAGTATAACCCAATACTCGGTCGAGTACCCATCAATACTCGGTCGAGTACAGGAGACAGGAGCCCATAAGGCTAATTTTCAAGGCATACTCGATCGAGTATCTACCCATACTCGATCGGGTATAGGAGACAGCGGCCCTTGGGGCTAATTTTTCAGCAGACACCCGGTCGGGTATTGTAGTTGACTTGGCGGTCAACGCCCGTTTGACCGCCCAAACGGAGTCCGATTAACGTGAAATTTTACATGCATATTCTACTTGAAGTCCTTGATCCAAAAATACCATTTTTGACCCCTGGATCATTGTACATAATAAGTTATCACATTTTTAATCACCAAACATACAAAACATGCTTTTCAACTTTGTTTTATGTATAATCATGGCATAAGCCAATACTTGATTAACTTTAATCATTCCGTAAAACATATACTTGATTACTTTAGGTAATCTCATGCCTCAATCAAAAGTTATAAAGCATATAGCCGTCTTCTCACCTCAAAAGAAGCTTATGAAGTTCTAGCCTTTCTTATTGAGCTCCGGTGAAACTCCGGTGAACTTTAACTAACTCCGGCGACAACTCCGGCGACCTTTTCAACCCCGTGAAAGTTCTTGAGATACCTTATACAAGTTAATAACAAGGTTTTATCATCATAAAACCCATATCAATACAAATAACCTCAAGAAGGTTATTTTCCGGTGAAACGGTCAACTTTGTTCTCTAAATCCGTTTTGGATATGAATCAACCTCCCAACCCTTCATTCTTCCCATATAACATGTAGAATGGTCCTAGGGGTATGAAATATGATTATATAATCATATTGGAAGGTTAATGAAGAGGGATGAGATTAATGGAGTTATTACCTTGTTAATCCTCAAGTTTTCCTCCTTCTTTCTCTTTTCTTTCCCCTCCTTCTTCTCCTTAAGCTTTGGTTCGAATATGGTGGATGAAAATGGAGATTTTGATGAGCTTCTCTCACTTGGTTGATGCTGGATACGAATGGGATTAGTTGGTGTGATTGAGAATGCCATTTTGGCATCTCTCACAATAATACTATGGCAAAGGTCCCACCTTCCCATTGATTGAGCTCTCAATCAATTTTCCTCCTTGTTTCTCCATGTCCTTGTGCGGCTCCCATGGACATTTGCAGCACCAAATTCGTGGGGTGGCCCCCACTTATGTGGGAGGTCATCCCTTTATGTCCCCAAGTGTACACTTGGTCCCGAAAGTTGTATTTTCCGGACTGTTTTAACTATATTTCATTTTATTGGGTCAAATGAAATGTGTATCATTCTTCCAAATATTATTGGCTTTTAGAATGAATGTATATTCCCCAACTTTTAATTTGGCGGTCTCCATAATTTATTATGGCTTTTTATCTGTTAGTGCGTCGGTACCGATAAATGGGCTTTATATGCACAACTGGACACTCACATAATTTATATAGCCCAACATGGATATCCACCATTGTACACATATTATCTTGACCCAAACGAATATAATATGTGGCCCCGATAATATCGGGTGGCCCCCACTTCCGGTGTGGGCCCCACGTGAATTCTATTATTCACGTAAAAGAAATGATAAAAAATTTACAATCACGTAGAAATGCGTTTATTCATTTCTCGGGGTTCAATACATAGTTTGATAAAGTACAAATACTTGGGGGCGGTGTTACAAGTTCTACCCCCCTTATTTGGGATTTCGTCCCCGAAATCCACGTGTCTAGTCAAACAGAAATGGATATTGTTCCCTCATCAGGGTCTCCACTTCCCAAGTTTGCTCCTCGACACGATCACTCTTCCAAAGTACCTTTACCATCGGTACCTCTTTACTCCTTAGCTTCTTTACCTGTCGGTCCATGACCTTTACCGGCTGCACCGCATAGTGAAGGTCTTCCCGGATTTCTACCGGTGGTTTCTCAAGAATATGTGACGGGTCCCGTACATACTTCTTAAGCATAGAAACATGAAATACGTTATGAATCTTTTCTAATTCTGGAGTTAACTGAAGCCGGTACGCTACAACCCCAATCCTTTCAATGATTTTGAATGGGCCTATGTAGCGTGGGTTAAGCTTACCCCGTCTGAGGAACCTGATGATCCCTTTCCAAGGCGACACCCTCAGAAATACATCATCGCCGACCTCAAACTCCAACGTCCTCCGACGTTTATCTGCATAACTCTTCTGCCGATCTTGGGCAGCCTTGAGCCTATCCTGAATAACTTTCACCTTCTCCTTGGTGATCTCAACTAGCTCGATGACCTCAAGCTTAGCCTCGCCTACCTCGTCCCAACACAAAGGTGTCCGACATTTCCTCCCATACAATGCCTCGTATGGAGGCATGCCTATACTTGCTTGGTAACTGTTGTTATAAGCAAATTCCACCAAGGCCAATTGGTTGTCCCAACTTCCTTGGAACTCTAAGGCACATGCCCTCAACATGTCCTCCAAAATCTGAATCACCCGTTCAGATTGCCCATCAGTTTGAGGATGGAATGCCGTGCTAAACCTCAACTTCGTTCCCATGGATTCCTGGAACTTGGGCCAAAACCGTGATGTGAACCGTGGGTCTCTATCCGACACTATGGTGACCGGAACTCCATGCAGTCTCACGATCTCATCTGTATACAACTTGGACAGTCGCTCAAGCGTATAAGTAGTGTTGATAGGTAGGAAATGAGCACTTTTGGTCAGCCTATCAACCACCACCCATACCGCGTCGTAGTTCCTAACCGTCCGTGGCAGACCTACCACGAAGTCCATAGTAACATGCTCCCACTTCCATTCTGGGATGGTAAGTGGCTGTAATAACCCCGCCGGGTGTTGGTGCTCTGCCTTAACCTGCTGACAGGTAAGGCAACGACTCACATATTCTGCAATCTCTCTCTTCATCCCCGACCACCAGTAACTTTCTTTCAAGTCCCGGTACATCTTTGTTCCACCTGGGTGCATGGCATACGCAGATGAGTGAGCCTCCTCAAGGATAGATTTCCGGAGCCCCTCATCTGACGGCACACACACTCGCTCCTTGAATAGTAGGAGTCCATCTTCTCTCTCACGGAAACCCTCGACGGGTCCCACCAGCATCCGTTCCCGGATTTTCTGAATTTCCTCATCATTGCCTTGACGCGTCCTGATTTCGTCTAACAAGGTGGGTCTCACCTCAAATCTGGCCAATAGAGCCCCATTCGTGGATACCTCCACGCGTGCCCTCAATGCTTGCAAGCATGAGAATAAAACCCCCGATGAACTCTTTCTACTAAGAGCATCGGCTACCACGTTAGCCTTCCCTGGATGATAGTCTATAATCAAATTGTAATCCTTGATTAACTCCATCCATCTTCTCTGCCTCATGTTCAACTCTTTCTGAGTGAACACGTACTTCAAACTTTTGTGATCAGTATAAATGTGACACACCTCACCGTAGAGGTAATGCCTCCAAATCTTCAAAGCAAATACCACAGCTCCTAGCTCAAGGTCATGTGTGGGGTAATTCACTTCATGCTTCCTCAGTTGCCGAGAAGCATAAGCAATTACCTTCCCAGATTGCATCAGTACGCACCCAAGCCCCTGGATGCTAGCATCGCTATAAATATCATACCCCAACCCTTGCACGGGTAGAGCAAGTACTGGTGCCTCAGTCAACCGTTTCTTTAGCTCAAGAAACCCCTTCTCACACTTGTCATCCCACACGAACTTAGCTCCCTTTTTAGTGAGCTTCGTGAGTGGAGATGCTATTACGGAGAACTTTTCCACGAATTTGCGGTAATACCCCGCTAAACCAAGGAAACTCCTTATTTCCTTCACATTCTTGGGCCTCTCCCAATTAGTGATTGCTTCAATCTTTGAGTTATCAACTGAAATGCCTGAGCCTGATACCACGTGCCCGAGAAAACCGATCTCCCCAAGCCAAAATTCACATTTAGAGAATTTGGCAAAGAGTTGCTTCTCCCGCAGTGTTTCAAGCACGAGTCTTAGATGTTTCTCGTGTTCTTCTTCGTTCTTGGAGTATATCAAAATATCATCGATGAACACTATGACAAATTGGTCCAAGTATTGATGAAATACTCGGTTCATGAGGTCCATGAATGCCGCGGGGGCATTTGTAAGCCCAAACGACATCACCAGAAACTCATAGTGACCATACCTTGTACGGAATGCACTTTTGGGTATGTCACTCTCCTTGATCTTTAGTTGATGGTAGCCCGACCTCAAGTCGATCTTGGAGAACACGGTTGCCCCCCGTAATTGATCAAACAAGTCGTCAATCCTTGGCAAAGGATATTTGTTCTTTATTGTGACCTTGTTCAATTGACGGTAGTCGATACACATTCTCATTGTACCATCCTTCTTCTTTACAAAGAGTACGGGTGCTCCCCATGGTGAATGACTCGGTCTAATGAATCCATTATCTAGTAGCTCTTCCAATTGAACTTTCAATTCTTGAAGTTCAGCCGGTGCCATTCGATACGGAGGAATTGAGATGGGCTTGGTGCCTGGTTCAACCTCAATCTCAAACTCGATCTCCCGATCTGGTGGGAGTCCCGGGAGTTCTTCCGGGAAAACTTCTGGATACTCACTCACCACTCTTACTTCCGTGAGACTCTTCCCTTTTCCTTCCTTGCCTACGACATAGGCTAAGTAAGCATGACATCCCTTCCTCATCATACGCCTCGCCCTCATAGCCGATATGATGCAAGGGTTGAATTTCCCTCTATCTCCCTCGAAGCATAGGGTGTTCCCTTCGCCATCTTTTAGTTCTAACACCTTGGTGTAGCAATCTACCTTCGCGTGGTGTTTTTCAAGCCAATCCATGCCCAGTATAGCATCAAACTCAAGCATGTCTAACGGTACAAAGTCTCCCATTAGACGATGCTCCCATATCTCCACATTACATGAGGGATAGTAGTGTTTCCTTTCCACGTCATCTCCCAATGGTGTAGAGACCAGCAAGGGTTGCGCCATTGCTACTAACGGCATGCCCAATCCCTTGGCGAACGCTTCGCTCATAAATGAACGTTGCGCTCCGGTGTCGATGAGAATTCTCGCCTGTCTACCCTTGATCTTTAGTGTTCCTACATATACAAGCCATGTAAGAAACACCACCCATCGTCCGGAGTGAAAAGGAGCTGAAAGAAAAATTAGGCTTGGAGTTGTTCTATACCCGGTCGGGTACTAGCCTATACCCGGTCGGGTATTGCCCGATTCCCCAAGGAAGAAATTTCCTGTCAGTTTTGCTCGATCGAGTACCCACCTCGTACTCGAACAACTACACTATACCCGGTCGGGTATATGTCCATACCCGGTCGGGTATTGCTCAAACTGTTAATCACATTGCTTTCTGCCCACGACGTTCGATCGAGCACACGCCTAAAAAATAGAATTTTACTAATACTCGATCGAGTATCATACCATACCCGATCGAGTATGTCTGGATTTACCAAAATCGAAGGGTTCTGCTAAACTTGCTCGAACGAGTACAAACCTCGAACCTGAAGAATTCCCCATACCCGGTCGGGTCTATAGGGATACCCGGTCGGGTATAACACATTTTTTCCGAATGTTTTACTTCAAACGAATGAATAAAACGCATGTGAGGTCAAAAGGTTACCTGCAATGGAGTCCGGGTTGGCCCGAGCGTCAGCCTCGGTCATTGCGTACACCCGTGCCTGAGTCCTCCCTTGGTTAACGGACGCGGCGTTACTAGCCGTGGGTCCGCCCCTTCCCGTGCCGCCCTGAGATGGTCCCGCACGACCCCTACCAGACGTGGGTGCCTCAACAGCTCCCGATGGCCCACCTCCACTCAACATTGGGCAAGAGAGTTTGAGGTGGCTTGTGCTACCACACTTGTAGCACCGGGGTGGTTCATTGCACTTCCCGGAGTGATTCCTGTTACAGTTTGGACACCTTGGTGGCCTCATGCTCCCCGAGCTATGCCCTTGCCCTCCTGGGCCCTTACTCTTCTTTGTCGGTGGTTCCGGCGCCCTGAATGATCTTCCATTCCCGGCGTGATGTTTCCGAGAATGGTCTTGGGGTCCAGAATTTCCCCACCTTCTCTTCTTTGCCTCTTCGGCTTCTCTTTTCTTCCTTTCATTCCACTTGGCTTCCCCAAGTAGCCCTTGATCCACAATCTCACTAAAAGTCATGTGATGATTGTAGGTGGCCCTATCACGGATATCCAACTGTAGGGTATCCCAGAAGTGATTAGCCATGCGGTTCTCATCCATGGCGTACTCAGGTATGTATCGTGCCAAGTCCCGGAATCTCTGCTCTAATTGCCTCACCGAGCAACCCTCCTCTTGTACCAAGGTCATGTACTCCTTCCTCTTTTGGTTCTTCTCAAACTCTGAGTAGTACTGATTATAGAATTCCACTTCAAATTTCTCCCAGGTGGTCTCACCGTGGAACTTTCCTTCCACGCCTTCCCACCATACCGCGGCTACTCCCTCCAGTAACCTGGTAGCAACTGTCAGCTTTATATCAAGCCCGATCTGCATATCCCTAGCAGCCTCATTTAGTTTCTTGATCCAGTCGGTAGCCACAGATATGTCGCCCTTGCCATCGAATGACTTACACCCCAAGGCCCTCGCCTCCTTGAGGTATTTGGAGATTCTTACACAGAAACCTCCTCCTTGTACCCCCTGTGTCGCCACAGGAATGACCACTGAAGCTCCCTGGCTTCCCTGTACCGAACCTCTCTGAGAAGCACGCCTAGCTTGGCGCCTAAGATCTCTTCTTAGTTTCTCTTTTTGATACCACTCTAACAATTCACCCATCTGGGCGAACTTGGCATCACTCTCATCGTTGTCATCATCGGTGTACGTATCACCCCCATCATATGGGGTCTCCTCATGTTCCGTCTCGGGAACATATGTAGAGTCGTAATCCTCGGTGTGAGTTCCGTGCACCGAGCTAACATGGCCATCGCTCACGGTGTGAGCCCGACGGCCTCCCCGGCCTCCACGGCCTCCACGGCCTCTCCTACCGCCTCTCGCGCCCCGAGATGCAACCTGGCTAGCCCCTTCGGACGTCACCGGAGTTTGCCCTCTCGGGTTGTTCCTCGTAGCCATGCCTCTACCCTCCATTTCTGAAAGAAATTTGGAATGAGCCGTTAGACTCGTATCAATGTCAATTGACGGAATAGTACAAAAGACACCACTTGGTCCAACATTATGGCCAACAAACTGTTAAGGGTACCGTCTTAACAATAAGAGGTCAATAACTTGGTTTCCAACGGTTCCTTAAGTACAAAAACTTTTGCTCATGGTTTTGCTCAAAACATTTTTGATGATACTATATTGAGAGGTTAATTATATAGTTTAGAAATCGATGGCTCTGATACCACTTAATTGTCACGCCCCGGACCGCATCCGTGCCACGTAGACAACCGCCGTACAACCCAATAAGAACAATGTAGTTCATTCTTATCAAATCATACAAGGCGTCCGATAGATTCTATTGCCAAACCGATTAGTAAACCAATACAATCAACATCAATATATAAATCAAACAAATGCGGAAATAAAATATGTTTGACATTTAGCCACACGTGGCAACCATGAGCACGCAGGCCCTTCAATAGTTTAATAGAAAACATCGTTCAAATATCCATGAGCAATTTCATAATTTCAAATAAGAATGGAAGCACGAACCACGTCTTCCTTATTTGAGTTCACCCTGGGCAAAGGTGCAGGTGGCAGGACTCTAGCCTCAACCTGAAAAATGTGAGGGCCCCCGAAGGGGTCAGTACTCCATAGAAGTACTAGTGACAAGCAGGCTATATGAGGAATAACTAATGTCTCAGACACGAGACCCAAAAATAGGATGATACATATATTTATAGGTGTAACCATTGTCACCCCATTCCCAAGATAATACATACTGTATATACTTGTAAAATACTTGACCCGTAGGTCGTTTTCTCACAAAAGAGTCTTTTAGAGACAAGGTACTTACCCAACCTTTCCCCTTTCATTCCTGAATGCCTAGCTTAAGAGCTACATTCTACCTTCATAATATCCTACCGAGTTTCAGGAGTGTTAACCCTCCCGGGGATACTCAACCCCATCCGAGTTTTGGGATCATTTACCGTCCCGAGGATGCTCAACCTCAACCGAATTTTAGGATCATTTACCGTCCCGAGGATGCTCAACCTCAACCGAGTTTTAGGATCATTTACCGTCCCGAGGATGCTCAACCTCAATCGAGTTTTAGGATCATTTACCGTCCCGAGGATGCTCAACATCAACCGAGTTTTAGGATTGTTTACCGTCCTGAGGATACTCAACCTCACCGAGTTTTAGGATCATTTACCGTCCCGAGGATACTCAACCTCAACCTTATTTCTAACCAAACCCTAACCTGGATATGGCTAACCTTGCATTCACTTAACTATGGACAATACCTAGTCCTATAGTCATATAATAATCCTTAGTAACCAACGTGGACGGGTCCCACCTGATCGGTCCACGTTAACCTACTCAAAAACTATCCATTTTGAGTATAACCCAATACTCGGTCGAGTACCCATCAATACTCGGTCGAGTACAGGAGACAGGAGCCCATAAGGCTAATTTTCAAGGCATACTCGATCGAGTATCTACCCATACTCGATCGGGTATAGGAGACAGCGGCCCTTGGGGCTAATTTTTCAGCAGACACCCGGTCGGGTATTGTAGTTGACTTGGCGGTCAACGCCCGTTTGACCGCCCAAACGGAGTCCGATTAACGTTAAATTTTACATGCATATTCTACTTGAAGTCCTTGATCCAAAAATACCATTTTTGACCCCTGGATCATTGTACATAATAAGTTATCACATTTTTAATCACCAAACATACAAAACATGCTTTTCAACTTTGTTTTATGTATAATCATGGCATAAGCCAATACTTGATTAACTTTAATCATTCCGTAAAACATATACTTGATTACTTTAGGTAATATCATGCCTCAATCAAAAGTTATAAAGCATATAGCCGTCTTCTCACCTCAAAAGAAGCTTATGAAGTTCTAGCCTTTCTTATTGAGCTCCGGTGAAACTCCGGTGAACTTTAACTAACTCCGGCGACCTTTTCAACCCCGTGAAAGTTCTTGAGATACCTTATACAAGTTAATAACAAGGTTTTATCATCATAAAACCCATATCAATACAAATAACCTCAAGAAGGTTATTTTCCGGTGAAACGGTCAACTTTGTTCTCTAAATCCGTTTTGGATATGAATCAACCTCCCAACCCTTCATTCTTCCCATATAACATGTAGAATGGTCCTAGGGGTATGAAATATGATTATATAATCATATTGGAAGGTTAATGAAGAGGGATGAGATTAATGGAGTTATTACCTTGTTAATCCTCAAGTTTTCCTCCTTCTTTCTCTTTTCTTTCCCCTCCTTCTTCTCCTTAAGCTTTGGTTCGAATATGGTGGATGAAAATGGAGATTTTGATGAGCTTCTCTCACTTGGTTGATGCTGGATACGAATGGGATTAGTTGGTGTGATTGAGAATGCCATTTTGGCATCTCTCACAATAATACTATGGCAAAGGTCCCACCTTCCCATTGATTGAGCTCTCAATCAATTTTCCTCCTTGTTTCTCCATGTCCTTGTGCGGCTCCCATGGACATTTGCAGCACCAAATTCGTGGGGTGGCCCCCACTTATGTGGGAGGTCATCCCTTTATGTCCCCAAGTGTACACTTGGTCCCGAAAGTTGTATTTTCCGGACTGTTTTAACTATATTTCATTTTATTGGGTCAAATGAAATGTGTATCATTCTTCCAAATATTATTGGCTTTTAGAATGAACGTATATTCCCCAACTTTTAATTTGGCGGTCTCCATAATTTATTATGGCTTTTTATCTGTTAGTGCGTCGGTACCGATAAATGGGCTTTATATGCACAACTGGACACTCACATAATTTATATAGCCCAACATGGATATCCACCATTGTACACATATTATCTTGACCCAAACGAATATAATATGTGGCCCCGATAATATCGGGTGGCCCCCACTTCCGGTGTGGGCCCCACGTGAATTCTATTATTCACGTAAAAGAAATGATAAAAAATTTACAATCACGTAGAAATGCGTTTATTCATTTCTCGGGGTTCAATACATAGTTTGATAAAGTACAAATACTTGGGGGCGGTGTTACAAACCTGATAGGAGGAATAACTCAAAGCCTTATATAGTGTTTAATTGTTTTATAGCTTTCCGGTGAGGGACAAATGCTTCAACACGCCCCCTCAGCCCGAACCGGGTTAGACAATATCGGGGTGTATAATCGGGTCAAACAAACCCTTAACAAGCTACCCTTAATCTTGGGTGCTAAACAAGTCGTCAAACCACAACCGGAATTGGCTCTGGTACCATGTTAAGACTCAGGGTTCCATCCTAAAAGGTCACCCTGATATGAGGAGTAGCCCAAAACCTTATATAGTGTTTAATTGTTTTATAGCTTTCTGGTGTGGGACAAATGCTTCAACACAGTCCTATTTTGAAATTGTCAAACCTTTTTAGTCCTATTTCGGGTAATATTCTCTTAAACCAACGGAAATTATTTGGACATAATATATAGGACCCATTTTAAGCAATGAAACTTGATTTTAGGTGACTACACTCGACTGTAGGGGGCAGATCAAGTATGTGCAAAAAATTGTACGATGCATCTATACACTATTTGTATTGTATATCAAAGTTCAAAGTGTTGCATAATACTGTGTAATAAAATAAACATCTGCATATTAACGTTCAAAATGGTGCATCCGAAAAAAGTTTGATTTTATTACTAAAGTGGCACCGTGCGGCTATAGCTTTTAGATTAACTCATCGGTTGACAAATATGAGTTTATAGTTTCTAAATTAGAATGTCTTTGTATTTGATGAAATTCCTCGGCTTGAGGGGGCGTCTTAAATATATAGCACTGCTATCGGAGCTTATTGGGTGTCTTTAAGGGCCTGTTTGGATGGAGTGTTTGGAAGTGTTAGTAATGGAAGTGTTAATAAGTGTTAGTAAGGGACTGGAAGGGAAGAGAAGTGTGAGTGTTAGACATAATATTATCTTGTTTGGGAGAGTCAAATGAATGAAGTGTTAATAAAACTCTTGTTATACAGTCATTTAATATTTCTGGTATTTGTTGTCTCTTTATGTAAAACTAATATGAGATCCTTCTGCAATTTTGATAGAGGGATCCTTCATTTCATTCTTTCTCATTCCCTAATCTGCTAATCAAGATTCATCTTTTTTCTTCAATACTTTCCAGATGCTTGTTCATCTTCTGTACGAATTTATATTTTAATAAGTAAACTCAATAAAGTACTCCGTATATGACATCGCAACTTAAAGCGGGTTGACCAACTCCAGATCCACTAGCAGAGACTCCTCTTTCGGAATTTAAGGTTTCATGAAGTTTTGTCTTGTTAAAGTATGAATAAGTCTACTGGATTCACTAGACTGGATCATTACAAGCAGGATTTACTAGACTATCATCTACAGTTTACAAAGAGGATTATATAATCCTCGAATTTAGCACCTTAAACGTTTAAACAATAAACACACAAATTCTATAATCCATAAGAAATACAATACACTAAATAAAAGTTTAAAATCCCATAAATATAGGCGTGTTTGTGTGTATGATAAAAGAGAGCAACCACCATGCACACTCTTTCCAAGAAGCTGAAACAACCATCTTCATTTTTTTTTGCAAGCAAAGGAAATTTATTAGAAATTAAATAGGAAGAGTACAAAATGATGAAAGAAAGCTAATGAAACAACCATCTTCATATTTCTCATTCTTTGCTCCTTCCCTATTTCTTTGTCTACTCTGCATTGCCGCTCTCTTCTTTAGCTTTTTTCTGTTAAAGTCCTCTCCATCCTCACCTCAAAATAACAGTCGCACTAACCAGGAACCGTTGTTCTCTCCTTTTTGCAATGTTTCGCATGGCCGGTGGATCTACGACCCAACATTCAAGTCTCCTCGCTATGATAATACCTGCAAGGATGGAATTGCATTGGGAGGAAATAATACAATGCGCTACAATCTCCCTCAGTTCAATGCTCTCCAATTCCTCGACCGTTTCAGAAACACCAATATTGGGTTTATCAGTGACTCCTTAAATAGAAACATCAAACATGTTTGTCTCCTTGTTTTGTACTTTAAAAGGAGTGTCTGGTGAAGTGAAGAAATGACATTCTGCTGATGCAGATCGTGGCTTTACCTTCCTGAAGTATAAACTTACCAATGCATATCACAGGATCCATCTCTTGGCTCGTCATGGTAGGTACTAGGTGGACTGCCAATGCCAATGATGGTGTACTGGAATATCTTGGATATAAGGAGGGATTCAAAATTGATGTTAACACTTAACATACCTGAAGGAACATGGGCAGATGCTCCATTCATCCATGATGTCCTTATCTTTAACACAGCGCACTGGTGGTGGGCTCCTTCGAAGTTTGACCCGATAAATCACCCATGCTTTTTTTAAAGATCGAAAACCTGTACTGACTTAAACAGGACTTGATTTGGTTCTTCAACATGATATGATATCATATGTAGAGGAAAGAATTCGGGAAAATGCCTCATATTATTTAGAACACAGTCTCCCAGGCATTTTTAGGGTGGTGATTGGGACCATGGTGGCTCCTGTCAACGTTTGCGCCCTTTATCTCTTCAAGAGGTAGAAGAATTTTTCTCTGTCAAGAATAATGGAACTAATGGTGAGGCACGCCTTGTAAAATCAACACCTTCGCAAGAACTTAGATGGAACTAAATTAAGAATAATGGATATCACTCATATGAGTGAATTCAGAACATATGCCCATCCATCAACGGTGGGTGGGGAAAACCACAACCATTGCATGCATTGGTGCTTGCTTAGACTTGCTGATACATGGAATGACTTGTTTATAGCACACATTAATTGATTAAACATATAGAGCTCAGGAACTCAAGTGTGTTTTGCAGTTTGGATCTTTACTGATACATGGAATGACTTGTTTATAGCACACATCAATTTATTAATAAAAAAAAAGTGTGATAAAATTAGTTTAAGTACTACGAAGTATCAACTATCGCGCATAAAAGATGTATAATCACAAAAGAGTTAGGATGTTTTTACTTGGACTGTAATTTGCCCCAGACCAAACCAGACCAGTTCAGACCAGACTAGACCAGACTTGGATAGTTATAAAAATACAAAGAAACCAGACCTTACCAGGCCAGGCCAGACCAGTTCAGACCAGATCAGACCAGACCAGACCACACCAGCAAATTACAGTCCAAGTAAAAACATCCTTATAGCAAAACCATTAAAAGATTCAATAAAAATGATGTGAAGGAGTTCTCCTGTTAAAAAAACATGTCAATAATTTTAAATGATTTAGCCACCAGAGGCATAGCTCTATCCTGACTTCTTTAAATTTTTAAACATTGTATTTACCAACTCATGTCATCATCCATCGTTCACAATGAATGAACAGAGCATTTAACTTTGCATCTCATATTTTCAATGAAATTAAACTTTGCACCCATTTTCAAACGTACAATGTGTAGAAAGTCAAATGACATTATAATTAGTTGAGGTGAATACATTAATGATATTGAAAATAGGGTAGAAAGTCTAATATCACTCAAAAAATAGAGTACAAAGTCAAATTATCCCTTTTTGAAAAAGTACTTCTATTACCCAAAATCTAGATAACAAACAGCAATAGATTACAGACAGATTCATTATGAGAACATAGATTATACACGAATCGAAACAAATCACTATCAGTAGCAAATTTTCGAATTTCACAATGACTAATTATATCCATGTATGAATATCCCAGAAAACTCGATTCCTGTAACCAAAACGGGTGTTTTTGTTGTCTTGCTTCTGCTAACTTTATAAGCCCAATTTGAATCCCTAGGATAGGAAATCATATCTTTTGTGGCAGTGTGCTACTTCCCATTTGAAGTAATTTCACTAAAATGAAATCCCACCAGGCTCTTTACACAAACAAGGGCATCATAAACTTCGGAGAGATCAGGAGGTGCCTTGCTTTTGATCAAAACTTTTGTTTTGATATCATGCATGAAGAGGTTTTCGTTGTTATGAAGCAAAAGATGATCACCATTCCTGAAATACGGGATTGGAAGTGGAACACTAAGAGGGGAAGTTGGAAAGGTGCGTGGGAGAAAAGACAACATAGCCCAAGACTCATTGGCACCATACTCCTTCATCTCCCACACCTCTGCAAATAAAAATCTGCCATTATAAATTAGAGCACAGAGTGAACCTTCAAGATTCATAAGCTGCACACAAGTGGTAAGGTTTTCAGGCAGCTGAATCTCCCGGAATGTTTCAGTAACATGTCAACATCAAAGACCAACATCAAGAAAAATTCATCACTGCTGGAACTCACCAACCAGTGCAAAGCATTGCCACGCTCCACACCATTGTATATAGCATAAGTAAAGGGTTTGGGGATATCATCACATTTTTTCCACGATTTGTGTTTACACTATAAATCTTGACCTCTGGGCTAATAGTACCAGTAGAGGGCCCATTAGAGTCGATTGATATCATCAACTTATAATCGTCTGTAACAGGATAGTGTCCAAATCCGGTGAGCAAAACTTTGATTTCATGCTTGGGAATAGACTGGAAATGATCAGAGATGGGTAAACTGATGTACCTTCGAATGAAAGGGTTCCAAATCGCCATATCCAAATTGCGGTTCATAACAGCAAGCAATCCATTGCAGCTTCCGAGAATTATGACCCCAGTTCCAAAGTCTATTGGGCAAGTAAGTCGAACGAAAGAGTCGAGATCGTTCGAAGCAGTCCAGCAGAGATCGTTGTTGTCCCCGAACACGAACCCGAATTGGGAAGGAGATTCCGGCGTGTGTTTGAGGTGTAGCTTGATAAAATCACGGCCGTTGAAGAGGGAGCAACTTAGATACGCACTTGTAGCGCAGCAGATCTTTCGCAAATAATCGGCAAAGAATCTGCACAATTAAGTCCCATGGGATCTCGGAGGTCATCTCCATTCACCAGAACTTATTGAGTCTTCATCGGATCCGACTTTATATAGGCAATATACAGGCATCAACTACATATACGGAGTAACTTTTAATGAAGCTCCTGGGTTGCCTTTTCATCTCCCCAAGATAAGCTCTCCATTTTATGTAATTTGTTACTTCTATTCAAATTTTCTAGATGAATAATTCCTTTTGTACACGTTTTTATACCCATCAGTACACGCATGTGTCTGTGAGAGTTTTTTTTTTGTCTGTGAAACGCAGTCCACAGACAAAAGCTGGCTTATTTTGTCTGTGGAAAATTTCACAGACAAAACAATCCAACTTATGTCTGTGAACTGCGCTTCACAGACAAAGAAAAAACTCTCATAGACACATGCGTGTACTGATGGGTATAAAAACGTGTACACCAAGAATGATTCTTTCTAGATAGTGTTTTATTTTCTTTTGTGTCTATTAGACTTTTCATTTATATTCCATATTAGACATATAAGGAATCGGGATATTTTACAACTTTTTACTCCTCCATCCCGAAAAGTTTTGACAAATTTCCTTTTTTGGATGTCCCAAAAAGATTTGTCATTTCCATTTAAAGTAAGGAATATGTGGCTAATGTTAATTTTCTCTCCTCTGCACAGATTTCAACCACACAATTTTTACTTTATTAATCCACGGGAAAGTCAAAGTTGGCGAACCTTTTCGGGACGGAAGGAGTATATTCACACTACATCTACGGGAGTTTTCTTTCTCTCTCTAGCGCCGCCGTATAGGTCTGGCCTAGGGCTTTTGTCCGGTGGCGGGTTTCGACCGCGGCACCGAGATCTCTTTTGTTTGGATTTCTGTGTTGAATTTTTGGACGCTTTGGATTCGGACACCCTAGTTTTCTCTGCTTTAGCAGCAAAGAGGTCTCGACGGATTTGGCTTCTTCATCAACGAGTCTCAATAGACGGCTTCTGAATTGCTCGACAGCTTTTCCGACGAGTTGGATTCCCGAACATGCAGCAAGCAAGAGAGGATAGTGGCAATCTTGCTACGAATCAGGGGTTGACAGATCTGGCTCCGACTCTCGGCACAGGTGATGAACAAATGGGGAGCGACGAAGGGCTGAGCAAGGGAGATTACAGACCGGCGGTCCGTCCCCCTTCTGAACCGCCTCCTTGGATTGATCAAGATGTCGGGGACTGGAGTATTTGTTGGAGGCCGCAAGTCAGAGGGATGGTTCGAGTGTTATGGCTGCGACTAGGGCTGAGCAAAACCAGGTCTGACCTGAAAAACCCGATATTTTTTGGATATTATCCGAACCGAAGTGGATATCCGACCCGAAAACCCCAAAACCAAAAATTCGATTAATATTGGGTCTAGACCGGGTGGTGGGTAGGGTTTGTAAAATCCCAACCCGACCCGCCCGAATACCTGAAATATATGTTAGTGTGTACTTTAAATATGTTAAATTAATACTTGTGTTCAACTATTTGTGTAATTATTTGTGCAATTTGTATTAAATTATTTGTGTAAATTAAATGTGTAGTGCACTAAGTGTGTACAATTTTTGTCAAAGTGGCATTCCAACACTTCAATTATCCAATTATAATGTATTTTAATATAACCTAAATATTCGAAATATATTAAATTATGTAGTGTGTACTTTGATTATGTTAAATTAATACTTGTGTTCAATTATTTGTGTAATTATTTGTGCAATTTGTGTTAAATTATTTGTGTAATTTCAATGATTAGTGCACTAGTGTGTAGAATTTTTGTAAAAGTGGCATTTAAACACTTTAATCATCCAATTATATTTTTTTAATATAACCGAAGTATCCGAAACCCGACCCGATATCCGATAATATCCGACTTAAAAATATCTGAAATACCCGATTTGAGTGAAATAGGAAAAATTGAAAATAATAATCCCAACTATTGCTGGTCCGCCGATAATAATCCCAACTATTGATTATTTTTGTATAATCCCAACTATATGGACCATCCGCCAATAATGGTCCATGTCCAAAACTCCAAATATTACCTCCTATAAAAAGTGAATTTTAAATAGAAATTAAACGTAAAAATTAAAAGTTGGGATTTATTTATAGGGATTACTTGTTATATCTCTTCTCATCCACTTTAGAAACTACAACAATTTATTTATAGGGACCATTATTGGCGGAAGGTCCCTAAAGTTGGGATTATTCTGAAATAATCGATAGTTGGGATTATTATAGGCGGACCGCCAATAGTTGGGATTATTACTATCAATTTTTCCTTTGAAATATCAAAGGGTCGGGCCTAGTATTTAAATTTAAAAACCCGAACGGGTTTAGGGTTTGCAAACCCGACCCGCCCGAACCCGACCCGTGCACAGCCCTAGCTGCGACAAGAGTGTTTTTTATTGTGCTTTGTTGGCTACTTCAATAATTGTTGCTTTTATTTTGATGTTTGTTTCTTTGTTTACGTTCCAGTTTGTAAGACGTTGATTTTGGATATGGGGATGAGAGGAATATGGTGACCGTTTTTGGCTTTGTGTTTCCCAATATTTTATCAGCGAATTTTATTGCTGCGGCGATTAATTCCGAGTCTGGTTCGAGGGATAACGGTTGTCAGATTTCTTGTTGTCTTTTGACCCATACTCTGAAAAATTATTGGTTATTAATATAAGCCGAATTCTTCCAAAAAAAAACATATACGAAACCGGTTTGGTGACCTAGGGCACATGACTCAAAATGGCTTGACACTTTAGAGCATCTTTAATGCTACATTGTTAACATTGGATAATTTTTGACACATGTCAATCAATAAATGGAATGTCTAACCACCTCATATAAATAGACGGTGGAATCCAAAAAACTCATCCAATGCATTATGTTAATAGAATATATGGATGGTTACGTGTAAAGCCTTTAGCTTTTAAAATAAATAAATCAAAATCCTTTGTGTGGAACATATAGATCGTGGGGGCATGGGGAGAAATTTTTATGGGCAATAGAAGTGGTCATTTACGGATGTTTCTCAACCAAAATGGTGAATCACCATGTCAACAACACTGCTATGCGAAGATTATGATGTGAACAATGTCAAAACTATTTTTTGACATGTTAGCATAACAGGTAGCTTTACATTCTGCCTTGGAGACCAACCTTATATTCTAATGTTCAACAAGGTTGACGTAACCACTTTTTTTAAGAAAAATTTCCACTTTTGGTCCCATGACTATTATGTCACTTCTACATTAATCCCCTTACTTTCAATTTAAACAAATGTAGTCCTTGACTTTTTCTCCATAACCACCCGTCGTCCTTCCGGGCTCAATTCCGGCTAATGTGAACCGGAAAACAATTAATGAGGGGGCATTTCAGTAAATTTAGGTTAAAAATGGCTACCTGATAAACTTTAACATTAAGTTAACTTAATGTTTAGTTAATACGGGCATCCCCCTCTACCTCAAAAACCGAAGTGTGTTCTCCCTCTCAAGTCTCAACAAACCTTCAGTGACCTTTGAAAAATCCCCAAAATCGTTCCAAGAATGAGGAACCGTCTGGACCGTCGGTGTGAAGAAGAAGGAACAAGTGTTGAACGGCGGTCGCCAACAAATGTTGCTGATAAAGGTAAGAGGCTGAACTTTTATAAGAGAGTGGAAGAAATTATTGAATATAAGGTTGAACTGAGGTGTATATATTTGGTGTTTGCAGTGTATGCACATGTTAGAGGTTTTATGTTGAGGTTCCATTTTCCCCTTTTCCTTTTTCCCTTTATGCGTTCACATGGTAGGGTAGGTTTTTTTTTTGGTGAGATTCCCTTGGCCGGTTGTCTTTAACCATTTAAGAAATGGGACCAGTTCACTTTTATCTTTACGCAAGGTTATACCCATACATGCTTTTCTTTTGTTTTTCAGTAGTATTTATGAAATACATTTATGGTGTTGTTGTAACCTATTAAAGACATTATTGACCTAACATTTACTTTGAGGTTGTTTTATGGAGGAAAAGTCTATGACAAGGATAAACCTGCATACATGGGAGGGTCAATCCATATTTTTCATGATGTAGAGGTTGATGAGTTCGGTTTGATTGTGTTGAATGAGAAGTTACAAGAACTTTGCTGCACCAAGAAACTTATGACAGTGTACTCTTATTCTAATGAGGATGAGTCCCTAAAACAACTACACAGTGAGGCTGAGGTTTGGGGGATTGTGAATGATGGAATTGTTGGTAAGCTGGTGGAGTTATGGGTAGAATTAGAACCCAGTGGTGACACTGAAGATGATGATGACCCTGAAGATAGTGACTTTGCCTACGGTGAGAAGGAGTTAGAAGAATTTTCTAGAGATGAAAATGACTCTGATTTGGAAGACTTCATTTCTAAGGAGGCTGCTGAGTTATCTGCTCATGGAGGGTTAAGTAGCAGTAGTGAAGGAGAAGATCACTTGCCTGAGGCTTCAATGGTAGATCCGGATCCTAACTTGTCAGATGATGGTTCCATACATGAATCTGATTCTGACTCTGAGAAGTGGACTAAATTCTCTGCCAAGATTGATATGAAAGACCCAACCTTTAAGTTGGGTATGACATTTGCCACCAAACAGGAATTCAAAGAAGCTGTGGAAAATCTTGTATTTAAGAATGGTAAAGATGTGAGGTTTGTCAAAAATGATAAGGAACGGGTTGTTGTGGAGTGAGGCCATGCGCCGTGAGATTGATGCTTTAGAGGCAAATGGAACGTGGACCATGGTTGATTTACCCACTCACAAGAAACCTATTTATTGTAAATGGGTTTATAAAATTAAATATAACAGTAATGGTTCTGTTGAACGTTTTAAAGCTCGACTTGTGGTGTGTGGAAATCGACAAGTGGAGGGTATTGATTACCACGAGACTTTTGCTCCTGTTTCCAAAATGACAACTGTACGGACCCTTCTAGCTGTGACTGCATCCAAAAATTGGGAACTTCACCTAATGGACGTTGACAATGCATTCTTGTATGGAAAATTGGATGAAGAGGTCTATATGTTTCCACCCCATGGGTTCTCCTCTTCTCAGCCTAAACAAGTATGTCGTTTGCAACGCTCTCTCTATGGGCTTAGACAAGCACCTCGGTGTTGGTTCTCCCGGTTTAGTGCTTCTCTTTTATCCTATGGTTTCACCCGTTCCTATGCCGATTATTCGTTATTCACTTTAACCAAAGGCAGTGACTTCGTTTGTATACTTGTTTATGTTGATGACTTACTGATTGCTGGAAATAATTCCTCTCTCATTGCTACGATTAAGGCATACCTTGCTCGGTGTTTTCCTATTAAGGGCCTTGGTTGTCTCAAGTATTTTTTAGGGCTCGAAGTTGCTAGCAGTCCTGATGGTATATTTTTGTGCCAGCGGAAATACACCCTGGATCTTCTTGAGGAGCTTGGATTATCTGGCAGCAAACCTGCGGACTTTCCAATGGAGCAAAATCACCGATTGGCAGTGACTCAAAGTTCTCTTTTCTCACATCCTGAACGCTATAGGCGGGTCATTGGTAAGTCGATCTACTTAACCTTAACACGTCCCGAATTGAGCTATTGTGTTCATATTCTCGCTCAGTTTATGCAATCTCCACGCACCGAACACTTGGAGGCGGTTCTACGTGTTCTTCGTTATCTTAAGAGTAACCCTGGGCAAGGTATACTGCTTCGGGCCAACTCCGAACTAAAACTGCAGGGCTATTGTGATTTGGATTGGGCAGCATGTCCACTTAGTCGTCGATCTCTCACTGGTTATATTGTTATGTTAGGTGGTTCTCCCATTTCCTGGAAAACCAAGAAACAACCCATTTTTGTAGGTAGTTAGTTACCTTATTTATATTAGATCAAATTGTATATATGGGACCGATGTATGAGCTTGAATAACGGATCAATTTTTCCTCTCATCACAATTCATTCTTTTACTTCGCATATCTATCTATTAAAACCGAACCGAAATTGAACAGAACATTTTACACCCATAAAATACACAATAGCAAATCTGTCAAGCTAGACACCTCAAAGCAGTAACCCGCCAGGCCCAGGGCCGGCCCTGGACAAGGGTAGGCCGGGCTTGTGCCCCGGGCCCAACATTTACAGGGGCCCATAATTATATATAAATGGATAAATATAGAGAGGACAATTCATATCAGACCGAGGTCATTTGGGGCCCTTTATGGAGGAATTTTTTTATGAAACTTTTTTAGAGTATTTTTCATCAAGTGTAAATTACATTCACAAAATTTTAGTTTAAAAATCAACCGGGAAGTCAGTTAAATAAAATATTGAAACACACTGCGCTTTGTGTATATAAATAATGCGCACTATCTTTCAATAATTTATTTAACTGACTTTCAGATTGAATTTTAATCTGAAACTTTGTGGAGATATTATAGATTTCATGAAGAATATATTTAAAAATTTCATGAAAAAAATCTATCGGGAAGGGACTCAAATGGCCCCGGTCTGACATCATTTCCCGTTAGGCAGGCCTAATTTCAAGGTTTCATCTTTGGACTGTAATTCGTTTTGCTCAGCAATCAACACTCTCCTAATTTTCTCAAAAATATCTTCCAAATTTGAAATTATAATTTCACAAGTAATTATCTGGTTTTATTTTTTTATTTTTTAATATAATTTTTATTCATTTAGTTTATATATTAGCACTTTGATGAAAGACTTACATTACCTTGTATGTTGAAATTTGCGTATATGTTAAGCTTTTGCAATATATTTATATAACTTTTTATGGGTCTTCTTTTTTTAATCGCCCTGGGCCCATAAAATATTAGGACTGGCCTGGCCAGGCCAGTCACCTGGAAGCAGTAACCTGCGAAGTCAATAATCACTGGACCCAGTGGTGTCCAAGAGTTCCAACCCAATTGCAGCGATTTCCAAAAAAAAAAAAACTCAACGTAATCGACCCCCAAGATTTAGCGATAGTGTAGAAACCGCCAAAAGTCATGCCCAATCTCAATATATCTGGTCTTAGGCGGACACCAAAAGTCTCATACCTGTAGATACCTTTTGTCCCTCTTCTTCTTCTTCCTGAAGTCTGAAAACGGCAGAGCTAGAGGCCACCAATCTGTCACTCGCCTCGTTTGTCGTTGCCAGCGCACCCCGCCTACTCACCCAGGCGGCCTAGCTGATTTGTTAAAAGATACTCCGTATTTGTAATTCACAAATACTAAATAATACTCATTGCTACACATTGAAATACATAAACGATACAACTATACTTCTGCAATATAGGTATAGATTATAATATGCATAACAGATCTATAATACGAAGTATTAACTACTCCAAAAAAATAAATAGACACCATGAATACTATAAAATGATACAGAGTATATATGTGGATAACCTATTCTCGAGTACAGTTAATAACACCAAAATTTCATTTATATCCCAAAAGGTAGACAAATCGATGTTTATTCATTATAAAGATAAACATTCAAAGTTGTTGATAAATCAAACTTTCTTTTGCTGCAGATTACTAATTTGAGAGAACTTACAGAGTATTAACTTCATGCTTAGACACAAACTCGGAATATAAAGTTTTACATTTTGTAGCTACTTATCAACTAAACTGGATGAGAATAAAATGGATGACGCCAGACTGGAGTAGAAGTGTAGAACCAAGTTCATGAGGTAGTTCTCGTGGGTGGAAGTACTAGAATTACAAAGATTCAACGACATTCAATTCTAAATGATCAAACTGACAGCAGGAGTAGTCCACAGGTAGAGTTCCACAACATAATCTTCTGCCATCGATGTAGTGCAAATTGAGCCCAAAAAACCAAGACCCCAAATGTCCAATATAGTTTCTCTGCCTAGGGTGTGTGCCCGCAAATTTCAGAGTGGAGTTATTGTACTATGAGTAATTGTGTGATAACTTTAGAGTCATTGTTAAGTCAACTTAGTCAAGGACTCCAGGTATAGTCGTTAGACTGATGAAATAAGGGAAGTGCTGTCACTCTTCATCTTGATACCTTTGCAAGACAAATGTCCACAAAAACTAAGTTCCTCTGAGTTATGTACCACAAAGAAGGGAATTATGTTATTTAGAAATAATTACTACTTATTACTCTAATCTGAAGCACTTCCTCTAAACTAAACAATGGGTTAAAAAGAGGGCGCGTCTATCTCAATTTTTCAAAAATATGTAAATGGTAGTTCACTTACTTTTGAAAAAGAACAGGACCCGATTTCATGCAGCCAATATACAATCATGGTTTATTCTGATGCCTGGCTAGTGTTTCCCCTAATGTTCGTGTAACCGTTGAATTCACCCATAAGAGTGACCATCTTTTTACTAAGGAAATAAAAAGGTTGCACAGTTAATCTAAAGACAATTGAATACCTATATTTACATGGACATCATCATCAACTTTGATGTAGTACTCTGCATCCCATAACTTTACAGCAGTGGAAAAATAAGTCTTTGTCTTGGCAGACAACTCAAAATACCCCACCACATGATCCTAATAAAACATACACACATGACACATGGAAACAATGAGGAAACATGCATAAACACAGCATGATAGCATGTGTGACATACTGACATTGGTTGGAAAACGTTAGTTCTTTTCAAAACTTGGTTTGGGAAAACTGTGCGCTTAGCTTTTTACTAAATTTGAATGATGTAATACAATATTTAAATGGTGGCTAGGAGGTGAAAGGAACACAAGCAGGGGAATCATCAGACGCATTCTACCAGGGATCATTATGTGGCACAACTGGAGAAATTATAACTTGCTAATATGGGAAAACAAACCGCACAGGATCAAGGAGACAATTGACACTATTACAAAATATGTTCATGATTGGTGCTACTGCAACTCAACAAACAAACACATTCAATTCGACTCTGACCTTTTCATCTCCCTTAGATAGTTAGATAAGCTCGGACTGAAATAAAACGAACCAAACAAACCCTGGTTTCACATTTTGAAAGATAAAATTGAACCAAACTTTTCACTTTGGGTTCGACATTTGATTTTACGTCAAAACCGAACCGGACTCACTCCAAAACTAATGATTTTGGATGCAAACATTAATGATTTTGGAAATAAAGTACAAATCCATATATCACTCCGAAAATAGAATCCAAAGTCAAATTCTCCTTTTCTTTTAAGTAACAATTATGTTTGAATATCCAAAGTCAAATCCACAAAATATAGATAACAATTATGTAAGCAACTACTGATTACAGAGTCATCCTGGAAACATAAACTATAAACTAATGTCAGAGACAAATCACTATCAGCAGCAACATTTTCGAATTTCATCATGAATCCATGTCTGAATATCCCACAAAACTCGATTCCTGTAACCAAAATGAGAGCTTCTGCTGTCTTGCTACTAACTTTTCTGCACGACCTTTTAAACCCAATTTAAATCATTAGCTTAGGAAATCATCTCACTGTGTAGCAGCGTGCTCCTTCCCATTTGAAGTACTTTCACTAAAATGAAGTCCCACCAGGCTCTTAACACAAACCCAAACACGGGCGTGACAAATTCTGGGAAAATCGGAACCTGCGACCTCCCTTTTGTTCGAAACCTTTGTTTTGATATCATAGAGGAAGAGGGTTTCACAGTTATGAAACAAAACATGATCACCATTCTTGAAAAACGGGAATTCTAACAAGGGGGGAGTTGGAAGAGGAGACAACATAGCCCAAGACTCCTTGACCCCGTATTCCTTCATCTCCCACACCTCAAAATATGAAAATCTAACATTATAGATTACAGCACAAAGTGAGCCTTCTAGATTCACAAGCTGCAGACAAGGACAATGCTTTAGAGGCAGCTGAATCTCCCGGGCAGTTTCAGTAACAAGATCAAAGGCCAAAATCAAGTAAGAATTATCACGCCTTGAATTTACCAACCAGTGCAAAGCATTGCCGCAAAGGACACCATTGTAAGAATGGTAATCAAAGTGTTTTGGGAAATCATCAATTTTTTTCCACGATTTGCCATTTACACTGTAAATCTTGACCTCGCCGTGAATAGTATCAGTTAAACGCTCACGAGGGTCGATTAATATCATCAACTTATAGTCGTCAGTGACCGGGTCGTGTCCAAATCCGGTGAGAAAAACATGGATTTCATGCTCGGGAATAGACTGGAAATGATCAGAGATGGGTAAAGTGATGTACCTTCGAATGAAAGGGTTCCAAATCGCCATATCTGAATCGGGGTTCATAATAGCAAGCAATCCATTGCAGCTTCCGAGAACGCTGACCCCAGTTCCTAAGTCTATTGGGCAAGTGAGTCGAACGAAAGAGTCGAGATCATTCGAAGCAGTCCAGCAGAGATTGTTGTCGTCTCCGGACACGAACCCCAATTGGGAAGGAGATTCCGGAATGTGTTTGAGGTGCAGATTGATGAAATCAAGGCCGTTGATCAGGGAGCACCATGACTTCGATACGCACATGTAGCGCAGCAGATCTTTCACAGGTAACCGGCGAAGAATCTGCACGATTAGGTCCCATGGGAGCTCCGCGGTCGTCTCCATTCACCAGAACTTCTTCAGTCTTTACAAGAATCTACGTTTCCAGATCCGAATTTATTTTATATAGGGAATATACAGGCAACAAGTGAACAACCGCAAACACGAGTATAATCAGTTCTTTTTTTTACCTGTAGGCAGGGCTCACCAAAACTCGATCCGACCCGAAAAATCCGATATTTTTTTTCGGATATTATCCGAACCGAAATAGATATCCGATCCGAAAAACCCGAAACTGAAAATCCGATTAGTATTGGGCCTAGACCGGGTGGCGGGTAGGGTTTGTGAAATCCCAAACCGACCCGCCCGAATATCCGAAATATATGTTAGTGTGTAATTTGAATATTTAAATTAATACTTGTGTTCAATTATTTGTGTTATTATTTGTGCAATTTGTATTAAATTATTTGTGTAAATTAAATGTGTAGTGAACTAGTGTGTACAATTTTTGTTAAAGTGGCATTCCAACACTTTAACTATCCAATTATAATGTGTTTTGATATAACCAAAATATCCGAAATATATTAAATTATGTAGTGTGTACTTTGAATATGTTAAATTAATACTTGTGTTCAATTATTTGTGTAATTATTTGTGTAATTTGGAAGTTTAGTGCACTAGTGTGTACAATTTTTGTCAAAGTGGCATTTAAACACTTTAATTATCCAATTATAATTTTTTTAATATAACCGAAATATCCGAAACCCGACCCGATATCTGAAAATATCTGACTTAAAAATATCCGAAATACCCGATTTGAAATATCAAAGGGTCAGGCCTAGTACTTAAATTAAAAAACCCGAACGGGTTTAGGGTTCGCAAACCCAACCCGCCCGAACCCGACTCGTGCACACCCCTACCTGTAGGTGCATGTAAGGAGATGAGAAACTACCGACACCAGCGGGTAAAAAAGGACATGATTGTTGTATTTGTAATTCTTCCAGTTTAGGGGCCTGATTGCAAAATCGCATATAGTTCGAGGGCTTATTTGAGTTAACTCCTAGGTCACCTTTTCATCTCTCTTAGATAGTTAGATAAGCTCTTCATTTTATGTAATTATCAATTTACATTACTTTTAGAGCGTGATAATCATTTTTTCGACTTATCAAGTTTATTAGCTAATTTTTTCATCAAACATGTAACTTTTGATTTTGCATGTTGAATTGTGTAATACTCGGTAATAAGAAAAAGTCAGGTTGACGTAGCTTTTCTTATTGTATTGGCTTAAACTAGTGTAGATTGTCATTTTAACTAATTTTCGTAAAATAATTTCTTCATTTTATTAATAACAAAAATTTTAAATGTTTTCCTCATAAATCAACAGAAAAAGCTAATGATCCAGCCACTCAACCAGAATTTCATAAATTTTAGCAGAATCAGTCGATTCAACCAATTTCAGTGTTACCAAACGGGTTCTTATTAAATTTTTCTAGATAGTCTTTTATTTTCTTTACTGTTTCTAAACTTTTCATTTATCCCCCCATTTCTGACATCTACGGAACCAGTTCCGTGATCTTGGAGCGCCTCGTGATGCGTCAATGTTCTAAAAGACGTAAGGCGTGACCCTACGTTACAACCAAGCTCAAAGCCTTTAAAACCTAAATAGGTTTAGACGTGAAACTGCGTTTTAGTTTTTTACTATTATTTTAATTTTTCTACAATTATTTTGTATGTAAGTGTAATATGGAGTATTACATAACATTACATACAAAATTACACCTTTATATAAAAACAAATTAACTAATATTAATTCTAGAAAAGTGATGGACACCAATGTGAGAAAAGTGGACACCAATGTGACTTGATAACTATTATTTACTATAATTGCATTCAAAGTTACATCACAGGAACTGCACATGCAGTCACTGGGATGTAACTTTGAACATAATTGTATCACTAATAATTACGAAGTTATATTTTTATTCATAACATCTTTTTATTAGTAATATTTTAGTGGGGGGAACTTTTTTCTTATATTTCAATAGAAATAAATTTTTCAAAAGCACAAATAATAGGTTTACAGGTTTATTGCCGCCGATGCAGCTTTAGAGTTCGTTGAACCCAATTCATCTTCCGCCTCACATCTACTTTCTTGAAGTTTTTTATGTTACTTACGATGACTAATTAGATGTGCATCAGTCCGACAATTTTGTGCTAACGCTCATAGTAGCACAGAAGTGGCCTTCTTCCTACCTTTCGTCTAGGATTTGTCTTTCCGGCATGCGCCTTGTGTCGTTTCTTGTTCAGCGAATGATTTAGAGTAACAATGGGAGGGCGGACATTACCACGCTATGACTCTCCATAGTCTGGTACTACTCTATGGTTGATGCTTCTAGATGTGCTACTATAAATCAAATCTAGAGGTCTGTAATTGATACCTTCGATTGGAAAATCATCTGGCAATTTCTGGTTCGAGGTTTGAGCAAGGGAGAAGACAGATCAGTGGTCCTCCCCCTCCTGAATCGCCACTCTGGAGCGACCAAAGTTCTAGCATTTGGAAGGTGATACTTCAAGAATACTTGAAAAAAGAAGCTTGGAGTATTTTATTTTTTATGGTCTTACTTTTGCGTTAAGTTTGTCTATGTTGTTCTATTTTTTGTTGAAAGCTTTAGTTTTAGGTCTACAATAAGGATTGACAATTCTGCTAGACATTAGGTCACTAGACGGATCTATATGGCCATTGATTACCGTGTTATGCCTGTTTGGTGGTTAGTAATTCATATTGCTCTTTTAGTGGTGATCGTTTCTAATCTAGTCGCATGTTTGATAGTGCTAATTGATTACAGATAGTTGTTGTCAGTGTTGGTCTTTTTTAATTTTTTGTAACGATCTGATACTAATGATATTAATATAAGCGATTTTTCCTTTCACGAAAATTTTTACAGGTTTATTTAGAGAGAATTTGACTTTGCACCCCACTTTTTGGGTGATATTGGACTTTGCACCACATTTTAAAAAACATTTGACTTTGCACCCTATTATTTAACATTTGTGAAGGAAAAATTCAAAATCAAGTGCAAAAGTCAAAGGATTTTGAAGTGAAATGGGGTGCAAAATCAAAGTTTTTTTAAAATAGGGTGCAAAGTCCAATTTCATCCCAAATGTGGGGTGCAAAGTCAAATTCCCCCGTCTATTTACTATACAAAAAACATTAATAAAGAAGTTGGTTGATAAAATAAGACTCCATAATAATAGGTTTAATAATTACAATAAAGAATTACACTAGATGATAAAATAATACTCCATAATAATACCCTAACTTTGGTTTGTATCACTAAGTATATACTCCCTCCATCGCAGAAACAAGTTCTCGGGTTGAATTTTACAGTTTTGACACTATTTTGACACTATTTTACACTGTTTGACACTATTTTGCACTGTTTTGATGTAGATAATTTGCTAAATAAGGAAGTGGAAAGTTTATTTTGGGACATCCAAATAAGAAAAGTAGGAACTTGTTTCCGGGACGGAGGGAGTACTTCGAATTCAAAGTCCCACACGGGATGAATAAGCATATCAATCATTCTTACACACCCTAATACCCATCTCTGTGAAAGGCTTTTTTTCTGTAAAGCCCATTCACAGAGAAAATAAATCATTCACAGACATGATGAGATAAAAGTCGGTATAAGAACGAGTACAAATATCTTTTTTTCTAAGCATATCGCTCCTCCCATGAACTCTATATAATATACTAGTTTTTAATACGCGCGTTGCGCGATAAGGTAAATACCCAATGCATTTTTTTTGTGAGAACAAATAAATATTTTATATTGTGTAGATTTTGAGTACTTTAAGTATTTGACATGCTAATATTTATAGCCACAAAAAATACATTATTTAACATTCTTTCGTCATGAAAGATGTCAAGAAAAAAACATGTCATCAAAGGGAAAGTCTAGGCCTTATTTTTCTAATTTCATATAAAACCATTCGGTATGCTTAATCAATTGCTACCTTCCTCCATGCTACCTATTAATAGGCCTCATGTTAATGAATGCGTGTATCAATATGAGTTATCATTTAGGTTGAAAATAAAAATGTAAATGAAAAACCACCAAATCAATATGATATGGTAATAACTTGTAACCTGAATAATTGCATAGATTTTAGCTCCCACAAGGGGAAAATAGAGTAATATTAGTTGAAACCTATTTCATCTGTAGGGGAATGAATGTTCCCACAAGGGGAAAATAAATTAACAAAACTAACTAATAACAATATAAAAGTATATTACAATCTTTATTTTTTAAATGTCTTATACCCACATATAGATGATTGCTTTGTACTTTGTGGTGAGTCTCAAAAGACATGTATTAATACTCACAGAAATACATTGGTTATTAAATAAAAAGCTATTCAAAATTTTACAATTGGAGACTAATACGGAGTAGCAAATTTTGCCAATAAAAAAGGTTGTAATAGCAAATTTTGCCAAAAGAGAGAGAGTGTTATAGCAAATACAACATACCTTGGATATGCTATGGAGTACGTCGTAACTAAAAATAGTTGCATCTTCACTTTGGAGACAGAGTAATGGGGTTTTCCCCTAAATATTACTAAATCAAAGGCATTTTTCAAAAAAGTGACTACTTTTGAGTATAGACACAGATATGACTAACAAGGTCATATATTTGGAAAATCGTGATGTCACTGTAAATTTTTTATATCACTGCATTTTTTTCATGTCACTTTCAATTGTTACTATTAGATGTTAATGTCACTTATGTATGTCATTGTCAGGTTCTCATGTCACTTACGATCGTACGGGTGTCAGTGTTGTCGTAAAACATGTCACTGTGACCGTTTCCGTTCAATGAAATTGTCGCCACCGACAACGCCACCAATTAACCCCGCAGCCGAAACCATAGCCGATCAGCCCCGCCGCCGACACTACTGCCGATTAGCTCCCGCCGCCGACACCACGGTTGATCGGCCCCTTATACACACCCGGCGACTAACATTGTTGACATCTGCCGCCGCCCTAAACTCTACGAATACAATCACAGGACTACACGACCTTGATTGCTAAAAGCCAAATAATTTGACATATCAGGAAAAATAAATTTAGACTCCGTAATTAACTCACGCCT